AATGGAAAAATGAACCATCGTGACTATATTCAAATACTTGAGTCACATTTGCTTCCATTAATTAATAATAGTTTTAACGGACAAGGTTATTTATTTCAAGATGATAATGCCCTTGTCCATATCGCTAAAAATATTAAAAAGTGGATGAACATGAAAAAAATCAAAATTTTGGCAAATTGGCCAAGTCAATCCCTAGATTTAAATCCCATAGAACATTTGTGATCAGAGCTGGAAAGGCGCATTAGAAAACGTCCTAAACCTGCAAAAAATGAGAAGGAATTGAAGCGTGTTTTACAAGAAGAATAGAATCGAATTCCTAACGATACATTAATAAATTTAATTGAAAGTATGCCACGCAGGGTTAAGGCATGTATTAAGAATAATGGCTGGCCAACTAAATATTAGTTTTATATATAGTTTAACTAATAGTAGTTAAAATTTTGGCCCCATTTATTATGTACGTTTTTGAATAATTAATAAAATATGAATTCCCAAAACTTTTGTCTAAGTAGTGTATATTTTATTAATTTTATTAAAAGAAATTTTAAATTTATAAGATACTTTTTAAATAATTTAATTTTTAAATTTAAGTTATAAAAAATTTATTATAATAATTTTTTAAAAAATTCTTTAAAATTTATATGTTTGAATCACTTTATTATTAATAAAAGTCATAAAATTTCTTAGTAAATTATAAAAAGTGTAATAATTAAAGTTATTCTTCATGATAAATTTTATATAATTAATATTGCTAAAAGTAATGTTAATAAGATTGTCAAAGGTCAATGATAAAATTTTTTAATTTATAATTTTTTTAAAATTACAAATTTTTAGCTAATAATTAAAAAATAAAATTTACTATTATAATATATATTTATAAAATTAATTTTTTAAAAAAATTTTAATTTTTCATAAAAGTAAATCAGAAGGGAATTTATAGTAAATAAGCAGACAAATTTGCCTGTAAACCTTTACAATCTAAGGGATAATATCTCAGAACATATTAATCAATAAACTATAATATCTAGGATATTAGTCTAAACTAAGTAAACTATACTAATAAATTAATATAATTCACTTAAATAGTTAAAAGCAAAAAATACTAATCTTACTTCTAAGCTTTTTTTATGAATAAATATTCTATGTTAATTATTAACACTTAATTGAAAAAAGTAAATTGCTTCAGTTTATAATTGATTTATTAAAAGTATATTAGCTTTAAATTCATAAAAATTCATCTATAAAGAATCAGAAATTGTCTAATATAGATGAATTATAAGTTAAGATAACTTCCGATAACTAGAGTATGACATACAATATAATAACTTTTTCAATGCCCTTTTCTTTTGAGTCATTAAAAAAGATTAAACATATTGTATTTTAATAAAGATTAACAATAATTGTATCACATGATATTACAGAACTACAGAACTTTGTTTAACCACACACAAACCATCCATTACTATCTTGGATTTTGGTTACACAATTCTATTTAATACATATTCATTCTGGGTAAAGTATAAAAAATTTTGCGACTATTGTTTAAAGACACAATCTCCCTTGTTCCTGGTGGAGAAAATTATATTTGTTACGTTGCTTAAACATAAATTTGCGTCAGAAAGTCATTGTTGCTGATTCACGACTGTACCTAGACCTTCGTCAGGACTGGTACTCTTTCTTGGTGACGTTTCTGATATCAAAACTTCATCTCACATTCTTATGCGATGGCTTCGCATTCTTTAGAGGTTTATGGGAAAGGAACAGCGGTGTGGATTAAAAACGATAAAGAAGGCTGGATCAGTGCACAACTAGTTTCAAAAGAAATATCCGATAATAATGTGAAACTTGCATTTTTAACAGACGACGGAAAGGTAATTATCTTTGTATCATAAAACACTTTGTGGGAGGGTTTTGTTTTTAATAAAAACAAATGTCTTTTATAATGGAAATTCAAGTTAAGATTATATCGTTATATATACATATACACTTTATTTATTAAATTTATCTCTTCTGCTTTGTGTTGTTAGGAGATAGTAATTACAACTACCTTGACTAAATTGTCTCAAACAAATAATGCAGAATTGCCACCTCTACGTAATCCTCCTATGCTTGAATCTAGTGATGACTTGACCAATCTAAGTTATCTTAATGAACCTGCAGGTTGTATTTGCATATTTTCGTGATAATTAACAAAAACAATAATAAATGGCCAAAATTAATTTAAAAAATTTCTATATCAATTTTATCAGTGCTCCACACAATTCGTACGCGTTATTTACAACGAAATATTTACACGTACTCCGGAATAGTCTTGATTGCCACAAATCCGTTTTCATCAGTTTCTTTATACTCGCAAGATATTATCCAAGCATATTCTGGAAAACGACGTGGAGAATTAGAACCACATGTATTTGCTATTGCCGAAGATGCTTATCGAGCAATGCTTAGGGAAAACAAAAATCAAACTATTGTTGTATCGGGTGAAAGGTAATTTAGGTCCGTTATTTCGTGTTAAATTAGGTTTGTTATTTTACTAACTCACTCTACTTTACTTTACTTTCATTTCGTCCACAATTTTTAGTGGTGCCGGTAAAACAGCCAGTGCAAAATTTGTTATGCGATATTTTGCATCTGTTGACGATAAAGAAAAACCACATGATGTAGTAAAGAAATCAAACACAGCTTCTGGCATGAGTGAAGTCGAAGAGCAAATTATGGGTAAGTGATAATGACGGATTCCTAATAAATCTCTGTAGTATGGTATATTGTGAAATAGCTAAGATTACTTGATAATATCAAAATTCAAAATAATATGCTCTTATGATTACAGCTACCAATCCCATTATGGAATCTTTTGGTAATGCGAAAACAACCAGAAATGACAACAGTTCACGTTTCGGTAAATACTTTGAGGTATATAGTCTTCTTAATTATTAGCTTTATATTTTAAAATTGAACATAACCGGTATTATTTTTATATAAAATTTAGATTCAATTCGATAAACATCAAAATATTATTGGTGCCAAGATTAGGACTTATCTGTTGGAACGGTCAAGATTAGTGTATCAACCGGAAACTGAAAGAAATTATCATATTTTTTATCAGGTAACAAACTTTATTTCAAGAAAAATTTTGGGTGTTCATTATGAAATTTATTAACTAAATAAATAATCTGTAGCTTTGTGCTGGTGCTCCACCATCAGAAAAAAAGAATCTTGAAATTGGTGACTTTAACCAGTTTCATTATTTGAATCAGGGTGGTTCAGGTACAATTCCGGGTGTTGATGATGCAGCGGAATTCGAAATCACGCAGAAAGCTTTATCCACCATAGGGATAACAATTCAGATTCAATGGCAAATTTTTAGACTTTGTGCTGCTCTTCTACATATCGGCAATATTCAAATCACAGCAAGTCGTAATGTAGCTATGGTTTCTGAAACGGATCAGGCACTTGTTACTGCAACAAAATTGCTTGGTATAAAAACAGCAGAATTTAAAAAATGGTTGGTTAAAAAACAGATAGTTACTAGGACAGAAAAGATTGTCACCGATCTCAATGCACAACAGGCTAATGTAGTAAGAGATTCTGTTGCTAAATACATCTATGCTAATCTTTTCGATTGGTTGGTTAATATAACAAATGAAAGTTTGTCCAACGAAGAAGTCAAGAAGAGAGTATCAAGCTTTATTGGTGTTCTTGATATTTATGGATTTGAACATTTTAAGAAAAATTCTTTTGAACAATTTTGCATTAATTATGCGAACGAAAAATTACAGCAACAGGTACATTGTCTGGGAGATGAATATTCTGAGTTATTTCGTTTTGTATCTAAATTAATTTTTAAATTTCTTCCAATATTAGTTCAATCAACATGTATTTAAGTTAGAACAAGAGGTAGGAATAATTCGAATCTCTTTTATTTTGTTTATACACGTAATTAAGTTTCTTTTAAATTTCACTAGGAATATGTACGTGAAAAAATTAATTGGACTTTCATAGACTTCAGCGATAATCAATCATGTATCGATTTGATCGAGGGTAAAATAGGCATTCTTTCTCTTTTAGATGAGGTAATGTCTAAAAATAAAAATTTTTTGTTTACACATATGGAAGAAGTTAAATATAATATATTAATAATTAATTTCCCTTAATGTATAATAATTATATTATTAATAGGAAAGTCGTTTACCATCTGGCACCGATGGTTCTTGGTGCAATAAATTATACCAACATTTTGATACTCCTACACATAAAAAATATTTTCAAAAGCCGCGATTTTCCAACGCAGCTTTTACAATTAGTCATTATGCACACGATGTATCTTACGAAGTGGAAAATTTCTTAGAAAAAAATAGAGATACTGTGCCGGATGAACATCTCGCTTTATTAAAGAATACTGACTTTGAATTCTTAGATGATGTTCTAACTAAAGGATCCACTGTTGCACCTCCTGCAACTAAGGTATAACGCATATACTTATAGTTTATTTGTAATAAAAATAAATATTCCTTTTCATTAAGTTTCAAATATAATACTATAATTGTACATTTTAGCCTGACGCTAAACGTTCTAGTTTAATTGCGAAGAAACCTACATTGGGTTCAATATTCAAAGTAAGTAATGAATTAATTTTTTTATCATGTCAATTTTACTGAGATATAGAAATATTTTATTGCTCCATTATTCAAAATATTAATGTATATATTAAAAGAATTATTTAATCTTCATATATTTAGGCTTCATTAATTAGTCTCATGGAAACCATTAATTCTACAGGTGTTTCTTACATTCGATGTATTAAACCTAATGAAGTTAAGGTAGCATGGAAATTTGAACCTCAAATGGTTTTAGCTCAATTGCGAGCATGTGGTGTATTGGAAACTATTCGCATTAGTTGTGCAGGTTATCCCTCACGATGGACGTTTGATGAATTTGTTCAAAGGTATTTGATTACTTTGTATTTTTATGCGCCTCAAATTGGAGGGTTTGCAACTCTCTAATAATGAACATGTTATATGATATGATCAGATAGTTGCAACCTCCAACAAAGGATAAGTCTCATTTTATCTAATAATTGATTTCTTAATATTTTCGAAAATTGAAATTAGATACTATATGCTCGTTCGTTCTGAGCATTGGAGTCCAGATACCAAAAAATTATGTTCTACTATTTTGAATGCTTCCATTAAACTTCCCGATAAGTTTCAAGTTGGCATAACCAAGATTTTTTTCCGTGCTGGCATGGTAAGTTTATGGGAAAATGCATGATTTGCATCGTGTATTATATTGAATTGAATAATTTATATATTTTTTTACAAATAATTCAGTTGGCTTATCTGGAAAAGCTTCGCCTAGATAGACTAAACGAATGTGTAACACTTATGCAAAAGAACATGTTGCGACATATGCATCAAAAGAGATATCAAACCTTAAAAGCAAGCACTATTAAAGTTCAATCGCTTTATAGAAGACGTGTAGCAATGATTGAGCTTAAACGTCGTCGCGAAGAAAAAGCGGCTATTACTATACAGAAATATTGGAGAGGATATATTCAACGAAAACGCTATTTACGTGCAAAAAAGGCCAGTCAGAAATTACAAATTGGTAAAAAAAAAAAAAACTTTTTCGTGTTTTTTTTTTTTTAAACATGTTTCTGACTGCACAATTTCATAATTCTTTGATTATATTTAGCTGTTCGTGGTGTTATCGCTCGAAAGAAATTTGAAAATTTACTTCGCAACGTTTCGGCTACTCGTATTCAATCTGTTTATCGTGGATGGTAATATTCCTTTTAATTTTAATTTGAAATTATAAGTTAGGCACTTTTAATAATTCTTAAAAATGTTCAGGGTTGCACGTCGTGACTATAAGAAGACTTTGAAACATATTATTTATATTCAATCATGCCTTCGTCGTCGCTTGGCAAGAGCTGAACTTAAGAAGATGAAAATTGAAGCACGTTCTGCCAGTCACTATAAAGAGGTTTCATATAAACTTGAAAATAAGGTTATTGAACTTACACAGAACTTGGAACAAAAATCTCAAGAAAATAAGGCCTTAGAAGTTAGAACGGTATCTTTAGAAAGTCAAGTCAAGGCATGGATGGAAAGGTATGAAAAACTAGAAACTGACGCCAGTAGCTTCAAAAGTTCTACGAAACAAAGTACTATTGGGATTGATGAGTTCAAGTCTCTTCAATCTGAGAAAGAAACACTTGAATTTCGTTATCGAACTTCTCTTGATAACATCAAGAAGTTAAATACTGAGATTGAACGTCTTACAAGTGAAATAAGCAAAAAGGATGATGAAGTAGCACGACTCCGTGCAACTACAGCTAAATATAAGGGAGCTGAGGATCCAGCTACGGTGCTCGCTTTGAAACAAGAGATTTCTGCTCTTAGAGAACAGTTGGCTAAGGTTAAAAGCGGTAGAGGAACATCGCCTCCACCACCACCACACCGTCAAGAAAACGGTTTCTTGACAGCTGCTAGCTCTTCTTCGCTGAAACCTCCATCGCAAAAACGAAGACCTCGGCGACATAGCTCCGCTGAATCCTGGGGGCCAAATGAGGTTACAAAACGCAAACCCAAAACATCAGTTGATTTAGTTATGGCTGAAGCAAAGAAACCGGGATTAAGACCTGTTTCAGTATCATATACTCAAATGAATGTTCCAAAGATTAGATCCCCAGGAGGTCGTCTTCATTTGCCGGGAGTTGAAAATGATCCAGAAGAGGAGGTAATAGAATGTGATCATTTTTATTGCTAGCAAATAATTATTTGTATAATTTCTCATATGTTGTACAAATTTTATTCATTGGATATTGATCAGATCATGAAGCTTCTTGAAGATGAAGAAACTCTTGATGATGAAATTATTAATGGGCTGATTAAATCTTTGAAAATACCACTTCCAAGTCTACAAAATCCTCCATCGCAGAAAGAAATTCTTTTCCCTGCAAGACTTATTAGCCTTCTAGCAAAGCAAATGTGGAAATTCGGGTTTATTAAGGAATCGGAAAGGTTATTTGCTAATGTAATGAAAACTATTCAAGAACATGTAATGGTAAGTGTTGGTAAATCAATTCTAAAATATTTGTTTATTAATATTTTAGAATTTATAAGATATTTTTGAAATCTTAGGATTATGAAGGCGACGAAGCGATCCTCCCTGGTGCATATTGGCTTTCTAATGTGCATGAATTATTATCATTTGCAAATGCCGCTGAGAGAGATATGCTACGTGGAGTAAACCCAGCTTCTAATTCGGGAGGAAAAATGTTTGAATGGCATGATTACGAAAGATTGGTGTCCATTGTTAAACATGATCTAGAGAGTCTTGAATATAATATTTATCATACATGGATGAAAGAGCTTAAGAAGCGTTTACACAAAATGGTTATTCCGGCAGTAATTGAAAGTCAATCGTTGCCCGGATTTGTAACTAACGAGACTAATAGGTTTATTACAAAATTCATTACTGGACCTACAACCCCTGCTTTCAGTATGGATGACCTTCTTAATTTCTTGAATAAAGTTTGGAAAGCTATGAAATCATATTACGTTGAAATGTCAGTAATTCAGCAAGTCGTTACAGAATTGCTGAAACTAGTAGGAGTGACGTCCTTCAATGATTTGTTAATGAGGTAGTGTAATAAGATTCTATTGGTAATTTATTTTTAAAAAGTATTCTATATTTAATTTTTATTTTTTCCCTTAGACGTAATTTCTGTTCATGGAAGAGAGGTATTATTTTTTATTTTGATATTTAATTTTTTGTTTCAAAAATTCTAATATTATTTTTTTTTATTAGCAATGCAAATACAATATAATATTACTAGAATTGAAGAGTGGTGTAAGAGCCATGAGATGCCTGAAGGCACACTTCAACTAGAACATTTAATGCAAGCTACTAAATTATTGCAACTCAAAAAGGTTATAATATACGTTAATTTTAATTATTTTATTATCTTTATATGTTAATTTATTTATTTAAATATAATTGAATTTTGATACCAGGCGACTCTAGGAGATATTGAAATTATATACGATGTTTGTTGGATGTTGACTCCTACACAAATTCAAAAACTTATAAGCCATTATTTTGTTGCAGACTACGAGGTAATTCCTAATGGTTTTATTATACACTTTATTTAAAACATTTTTTACCATAATTTTTTAAAATCATAGAATCCAATAAGTCCGGAAATTTTGAAGGCTGTGGCTAGTAAGGTTGTGGCAAATGATAAAACGGATATACTAATGCTCGATGCAACTCCTTTAGAGGATTCTGGTCCATTTGAAGTTCCCTCTCCACGCGAGGTGGCACCTCCCGATAATTACCTGCCTGCATGGTAATAATAATAACAATTCTTTTTTTTTCTCTCCAGAAAATTTGCTAATTTTGATAATTTTGACTTTCAGGTTAAATTTGCCACATGTAAAGCGTCTTGGGACCTTAGCAACATAATCGAAAAACGAATGGTTAACCAGTATTGTCAATTGCATTGTGCTTAAAATATTATTTAAATTTTATTTATTATACATCGGAACCTTTTAAAAAAGAAATATGATAGTGCGTGATTTATATTGGTTAATTTTTTAAATTATTATATAATCTGTATCAATAGATAGTAAAATTATTATGAATTAATAAGAAATGGTAAGTATAGATTATTCTGTTATTCTATTTTTATAACATTATAGGTACTTAATTTGTTTATGATAAATTATTTATTAATATTAAAATGAATATATATATTTATATTATTAAGTAATAAAATATATTTTACAATTATAAAATCAAATAAAAAAAAAAATTTTTAATTTTTTATAATTAATTATGATTATAATCAATTTGTTATCAAATATTAAAATCTGAATGTTTACTAGCAATTAATTAATTATATTAATCCATTTATAGTTGTTAATTTTAATACAAGAATTTTTGCTATATATTAAAATTTGCCAATCAATACATTTATATAATTATGCAATTGTATATTTATTTATGCATTTTTAGTAAAATTATCTTTAACTATTAGTTATACTATAATAATAAATTATTAATAACAAATTATAATATTAATTAAAGTTTTGATATTATTGAATTTTTATTGATTATATTTAAGAAGATATCTTATTTCAAATTATTTAAATTTTATTAATATAAATTATACTAAAGATATATCAAGATATAATAATATATTTGTTTCAAATTCTAATATTATAATTAAAAATTTAAATAAATTATAAAATAATAAAAAAAATTATTTGTATATTTTGTTAAATTTTATATATAATTAAATCTTATAAGAGCAGTGACAAATATTACCTAATATCCTAGGAGGAGAGAGCATATCAGACATTTGCATGATTGGCCATTACACAGAATTGTATAACTTAACTTTTATATTATTTAAAGTAAGGTAAATATTTTGTTATCTTGCCTTTTTTCATATAACACTAAAAAAAAAATTTCAATTACATTTCTAGAAATCTGTTATAGTACTTTTTCGAAACTAATCCTGTTAATCACAGTTTTTAATAGGTCATTTAGCAATTCTAAAGGTTATAATAGAAAATCTAAATTAGAAGAAACTTTCTGGACTATGTGTTATTTGTGAGGTAGAAGAAAACGAAATAAAATTTCAGAGGTTTACAGAGAAAGCTAAACGAAAAGCCTTGTAGCATAAAACTTTAGATCCTATCTAGCAATTAAGCAGTACTCAATTTTATCATAATCACTATATGAGCTGTATTGTAAATGAAATATATTTTAAGAATTTTAAGGATACCGTTATCTTAAAATGACACTGAGAATCTGATCAGATACAAGATGAACTGATGATAAAAAGAATTGATTCTAATGATGGTAAACTCAGATTAACAATGAAAGGAATTGAACCTAATAATTCAAAAATGGATTTTGATGGACTTGAAGATAAATTAACATTGGAGGTAAGTAGAATTTGTGAGATTGATTTTATTGAAAGTGTTAAATCAATAGTACAGATTTTATATACAAAAGAAAATATATTATCAATTTATGATTGAAAATTATTCAGAAAGGATATGAAATCAAAAGATACTAATATTACATCATTTTTTAACATACTTGAGAAATTAATCAATTCAAATGGTAGGGACCTTTTGGACCATACTATCTCACAAAGGCAAAAAGGGCTCTCTTTTTTATATTATTTCCTTACTGAAATTGGGAATAAGTATATTAATGCACTAAAAAAAGATATTGCAATATTTTTGAATAATTCAGGTATATCTAATCGAGCTATAGATACTTTATTTAATATGCAATTAAGTTCTACATCAAGAGAAAATTAGCGTGAGAAGAATGTTATATCCTCAATTTATAGAAATAATGTTACAAAAGAACTCTTAAAATATCAGACAAATGCAATAGTTACAAATATTGATGATTATCATAATATTCATGGATTAAGAATGCTAACAACAACAACTACTAGTACTATTGCATATATGACTACTATTCTTGCTATTCCTATATCCACAGCAAGTGCAATTCTAAAGAATATTGTATATAATATAAATGCAAATCGAAACTATACATAATTCATTACTTATTGATGCCAATTCTTTAATTTTTCAGATAGAGAATCATTATATAGCTCTTTTCTCTCAATCTTTTAATGATCAGTTTGCTAAATAATTTACTTTTTTGAAGAGAATTTACTTAACAATCTAATAGTTCATTATTATGATGCAGATATTCATGAAAAATAAAAAGATCAACAACTTAGTGATACTATATTAATTGATTTTATTAAGCTTGATTTGCATTCAATAGAAGCATATATTATTGCTATGAAAATATTTGCATCCTTTTCTGAATTATGATTATCTTAAGCATAATGTTATTCCATTAATTGCTGATTGACCAGGTCAAATATATTCTAGAAAAGCAATTACTATACAACAAAGACAACAATAATCAAAAAAAAATAATTAAATAGAAATTCCAGAGTGTATTAATTTTTTTATTCTAATTATAAGACCTTTGCATATATCTTTAAATAGTCAGGAAACTGCTATTTTATTATTTTTTAATTTTTTTAATTCTGCATACAAATATATTTTTGGAACAAAAAAAAAGCTTGCTAATAAATCTCATCCTTGGAGAATCAATATTTTATTGTAATTAATTTCAGATACTTGGAAAAATATTACTCTATATGTTAAAGAAAAAATTGAGCCAATTTGTTTTAGAGATGTAGAATATTTTACATTAAAAACCCTTTTAGATGATACTATTCCTTTAGTTTTAAATATTTATGTAACAAATTTTAGATCTAATAATTAGGAAATATATATTGAAGCTTGTGTAAAAGTATAATATTTATTTGCTCAATTTAAATGAAAAAATTATAATAAAGCACTATTATTTTTTCTTTTGAATGTTTGGTATTGAGAAAGTATTAATCATCCTATTCTTGATATTTTAAAAAAACATCTTGCAGTATTTAATGATTATCTTATAGAAAATTATCATTCATTAATTTAAAGATAAATAAGAGAAATAGATACATATAAACAATTATCAAAACAGCTCATATTATCAATTATCTTCGTCATGATAATGTATTTCAAAATGCATTTATTATAACAAAAAAGTATCCTTATTGTAAAAAAGATTTAATAAGTTTAACTAATAAAGCATCTATTTTCTTTTAGAATTATTTACAAAGGTTAATAATAATATTGGAAAAAACAAATAGATAAAAATTGATCAACATAGAAAAAAATAAGCTTTTATGTTATCTTGCAACTCTTAATATGAATGTAGATGAACAACATTTACAATGGCTTTTAATTCAGAATATCTACCATTTAATTTATTAGAAAAGTATCATCTTCAAAATATTACAATTAATATCTAATGATTTTATTTTTTATAACTTAATAAAGTTTATTTCTCTTCCATATGGTCATATTTATCATCAATATTGTTTATAATATCTTGAGTATAAATGTTTATATTATTTAAAATATATTAAAAATGAAATTAATAATAATGTAAAATCTGTTATTTCTAAAATTACTGAAGAAAATTTTAAAGTTGAACTTGATCAAGAAGATGAAATTCAATTAATAGAAAATAATGAACCTGAAGATTTATCAAAGTAAATATTATTTGATTTTCAAGTTATAGAACAATTTAAAATAGCTCTTGAAATATTTATGAAAAATTAATAATTTTTATAAAAAATGCGATATTAATATTATATTATTTTAATAATAAAATTGAACCAATCAAAATCAATTATTTTAATGATAATTAGGAAATGATCAACATAAAAATTGACCAATCATACAAATGTTTTCCATGCTGAAAGAGGGAGGAATAATGGAAATCTTAGGTTACACATAATAATATAGATCATATGATAATAAATAATAGCTTAACGAAAATGCAAAAATTTTTTAAATGTAAATTTATTTAAAATAAATTTTATTTATTCTCTATCTGAATTACAATCTCTTTGTTCAAATTTTATTTCATTATATGACTTTTTTTGTTAAGACAGAAGAAGAGAAAGATTATCAAAAGATGAGTTCTGCTGTCTCTTAAGCTGTCTTTAGCTAACAGGATATATTAATCATTTGTGATTTATTAAAAATGAGAGAGTTGAAAATATTTTTTACAAATTGAACAACAAAATCACAAGTTTTCAATAGATGCACAATGGACATCATAATTCAGTATCTTTAAAAATCCTCATACTAAAGAAGATAAATTAAATTTATGAACTTACTAGTCTAATGATGCTAATTTAGGAATTATTAGGATATATGAATGATATCTGAATGATATCCTATAATTCCCGAATTGGCATCATTAGGAGTTATTCAGTAATTACTGAATTATATCTAATAATAGTCTAAATTTGGGTCTCATTCAGAAATCATCTGAGATGTAGTAAAAAACTATCATTAGATATATAATTAGGCTACCGAATTGCATGCTAAATTATAGCTTTTTTTTTCTTTATTTATAAACCAAATAATATTAAATTACTAATTAGTATAATTCAATTGGATTACTAAATATTGGTAAAAATATAATTTATGCTAATTTATTGAATTTTACCAGATTATAAGTACATTTAATATAAATATTTAAATATAAACTAATTAATCCCATCTGAATCATATTTCGAATTTTCTTCTTGTTGACTACTATTAAAGCTCTGAACAGTTTGGATTAATCTGAAAATTTTCAGTTCGGATCAACTTCAGTTCAGTTTCAGATTGCAAAATATTCAATCCGAAAATTTTCAGTTCAGTTCAGATTTTTTCAGATTATAAATCTAATCCGA